TACGTTTGTCCCAAAAAGTGCTAAGACCGCAGGCGGACAGAAACGCCTCGTCTCTGAACCAGTCCGGATGAGGGACCCAGAATTTGGGGACAATGATTTTTGTCCAGTCATCAAGTGGCATGGTAGTTTTCTTGAACAACCCCGGCTCCATAATGGCATCCCGGGCTTCAGCCGGTATATGGGGAAGGGCGCATTTCTTTCCTAATAGAGCCGAGTTCTTGTTGTAACGGCACATCCGTTGATTAGCAGCCGTAGATGGGGAAGAGACGAAATAAAATTTGCTCTTCTAGCTTGACCATTTAGAGGGCTTCTCTAATGTCATCATATATTTCGGATGCGTGGTCAGTGTGTACCACGTATTCCAGCCGCCTGGGGCACGACTCACGTATTCCAGCCGCCTGGGCGTGGTCAGTGTTTACCACGTCACGTCCTGCATCTCGCAGGCGACTAATTATCCAATGATGTTCACCCAAGAATTGGGTGTTAGCTGCCAGAGTGCAAGGTCATAACCCCTTAGTATGGCTTTGATGGTTCTGTGGAGGGGGAACCGGAGGCCGGCTTTGAATGCCGCCTCATAGCAGCCGAAATAATTGTCGGCATGTTTCAAGTCGTCATCCCAGACGACGGTTGCATCAGCAGGCGGGATGCCGACCTCCCAGCCGGCCCCTACAGGGCTCTTCTCCAAAAAAACCAGGAGGGTTGTGTTTAATGTCACAACATCCTGGGCGCTCATGTGCGCCTCCGTTGGATTATTTGCTGAAGGCCAATTGTAAGGCTCTTCATCATCTTGAGGGGCATTCAGGGTCATTGTAGACTCAGTTGAGCCGGATTCCTGGTCGGTTTCCTCACCGCCTGAGCTCCCGGATTCCTCAAGGATCTCATCACCGGGCGTACTCGGGACGCCCGATTGGTCAAAAGGAACATCCTCAACCGGAGTTTCGGCTGAATCATTTGTTTGGTACTCGGGGTCAACAGCCGTTTTCCTTGTCCGAGCCATACTGTCCTGCACATGAACAAAGACGGTCGGATTCGTAGAAGAGTAAGGGTGGTCCAAACACCCCCAGACGGCATCCCCAGTCCTAGATTCAGCCGTATCCGGTGAACGGTTGACAACTGCTCTAGGCCGTGCCGTGTGTGTATTGGGAGAGTCTATTATTCTCTAACAATCTATACAACCAGTAAACTCAAAAAGGTTACAAGGGGGCAAAGGTGATACCTTAAATTTGTGAAGATGTTTGTAGTAGACTTGGCTGAAATCCCAAAGTGTGGCTTGAAGAGGCCACAGACGGAGTAGTCCGGTTGTGTAAAACTGAAGCACAAAACAAACAATCAGTCATTATTTCAAGAAATTTGCTCAAAGATACCCCAGACGGTATCAAAGAAGCTTGCTCAAAGATACCCCAGCAGTATCAAAGAAGCTTGCTCAAAGATCCCCCAGACGGTATGAAGACCAGCTGAGGGTCTAATGAATTCAAATTAAATATCGTTCAAAGATACCCCAGGCGGTATCAATGAAGATTGTCCAAAACCCCAGACGGTGTTAAGACCGGCTGCGGGTCTATACAAAGCAAATTATGAAGGTTGCTCAGTAATGCCCCAGACGGAACATTTTCGGCTGAGGGTCCATTGAATGGTTTATTGAAGACTTCTCAAAGATACCCCAAACGGTAACCGTGAAGAATTTCTCAAAGACCCCCCCAGACGGCATAAGGACCGGCTGAGGGTCTTACAAATGCAGGTCAAGAGCAAGTTATAAAGAAAATTGCTCGAGCATACCCTAGACGGTATAAGCCCGGCTGAGGGTATAATTGATGCAATCTTCAAGGATCATTTGTTTGAAGATACCCCAGACGGTCCATAACCGTCTGTGGGTCTGGCTTTGAAGATTATTTGTTTGAAAATACCCCAGACGTTCCATAACCGTCAGTGGGTCTAGCTTTGAAGATCAATTGTTTGAAGATGATCTAGGCGGAATACTTCCGGCTGAGGGTCTATTGAATGCAAAATGTTAAAGACTACTGTCTGAAGGCGCCCCAGACGGTATGAAACCGTCTGTGGGACAACCCCTTGAAGACAGTGTTCAGAGATGCCACAGGCGGTATATCACCGTCTGTGGGCCTATGGAATGCATTATTGAAAAAGACCAATTTGAAGACACCTCAGACGGTCCATAACCGTCTGAGGGTTTACTTTTGAAGACAATGGATTGAAGATACCCCAGACGGTCCAAACCGTCTGTGGGTATATTAAATGCAAGACATGAAAGAAAGGGCCTAAGATGCCCCAGATGGTGTAAGACTGTCTTTGGTTCTACTCAAATCAAGAGAAAATCAAGAGTCAGACGGTACCTAAATAAGTTGATTGAAGAAGCGCTCAACCGGTATCCGGATGCGTTCGAAAAAAGAAGCTGGTTGCACAAAAAGCAACCGGTATCAGAGCTCTCAAGAAATTTTTGGGAAGTTTGTAAAGTGAAGAAGAGAGAGGGGGTTGTCTTTATTTATAGGCAAACCCAGAAGGCGAACTGCCACCTTCTGCCTCAATCTTTCAAAATTCGAAATCACAAGAGAAGCGGGAAGTGGCCCAACCGTCACTTCCCTAGAGTTTGACACCTGTCACAGGTGACACGTGGCTAAGCCACGTCACACCTGTGAGGGGCAAATGTTTGGGGTAAAAAATACCTTATGCCACGTGGCCTAGTAGCATAATGACACGTGGCAGCCCACCAGAGGCCCAACGGGATCCAATCGGATGCTGACACGTGGCATTGTAACCCTAATGGGGGAGCAGATCTTCATCCGCTATAAATAGAGGAAAATCTTCATTTATTAGATTTTCATAAATACAAACACAAAACCAGAGCAATATTAATTGCGGAATCTCTCTGAATCAGTGAGAAACATTTACTATTTCCGTACAATTTGCTACTCCGGACGTATACTAACTTGATCGTCTGAGGCGGAACTCCACCCAACCGGAGTTTCGTGGTTTTGCAGGTACAGACGGTCGGACGCGCATAGTCAGGATTGTAACTCTCCCGCAGGACACATCAAAAAACCCCGAAACACTCCGGGTGCACCCTACACCCCGAGTGATAGCATCTTGGAGGAATCTGACCATGGAGACGGCGTAGAGGCCGTTCAATCTAGCTCTGAGTCGAGTTCACTTCAGGCGGGATACCGACAGTGAGAAAGACGAGGCGACCTCGTGGCCGGATAGGGGAAACCCTCTTGAGACCCATATGTCTACCAAGGATAGGTCTGCTATAAAGACGAGCTTTCAAGCCTTTGTAGATAGACGTCCCATAGGGGACGGCTGGGAAATAATCGTGCCGCCTGCAGAGGCCACAGTCACTTGGGAGTATGATATTGACCATGCCGATAACTATTTCGGCTGCTATGAGGCGGCATTCAAAGCCGACCTCCGGTTCCCCCTCCATAAAGAAATAAAAGTCATACTAAGGGGCTATGACTTAGGTTTATGGCAGCTCACCCCTAATTCGTGGGTGAACATTCTTAGTTGTATTGCCGCCTGTGAGTTGCAAAACATAGAGCCCAACTGGGAGGCGTTTGCTCACATGCATTATCTAAGCCGTGCCCCAAGCGGCTTTAAGGCGTGGTATACTTTAACCACGCATCCGAAGTATTTGATGACGCTTGACAAGCCATCAAAATGGAGCAACTGGAAAAGCAAGTTCTATCTGGTCTCCTCTCCCAGCAAACGTCAAAATCATTTACTCCGCCGGTATAACAAAAAACCGGATCTATTGGGGAAGAAGTGCGCCCTGCCGCCTGTCCCTGACAAGGGTTGGGCTTAGATACTAGAGACGGAGTTTTTTAAGACGACCACCATGTTTCTGGATGATGGCGCGCAGATAATCGTACCCAAAAATTGGGTACCCCCATCCAAACTGGCTTAAGGACGCAACGTTTCTCTCCGCCTGTGGCCTAAGTATCATGGTTGAGAAACTTACGTTGGCCGCCCAACCGGCACCCTAATGCCGCTTCTATTCACTAGTAGAAAAACGCAAATGGCCAGCGGTTCAAAACCCCATATGGGCAGCGGTTTTGAACCGCGGGCGCTAAGGGGGTCGCCCATTACCCCCTTTAAATGGGCAGCGGTTCAAACCGCTTCCCATTTGTTGAGAATAGGCAGCAGTTCATTGCCTAAACCGCTACCCATAACAGATACAAAGTGGGTATTATAAATTGTTATGGGCAGCAGTTCAGCCTCTAAACCACTGCCCATAATGCCTAAAAAAAATATTGCTTTTTTTTCACCTAAACTGCAGCAGATACGTATATATACTCATAATATACATAACTCTCATATATTTTCTATAATTACTTGTAATTTTACACTTTAAAAAAGAACAAACAAAATATAGTTGGAGTATTCACAAGTAGTAGCTGCTCCAGCACAGCATAAGTAACAGCAGGCAGCAGGCAGCATCAGCTCCGGCAGAGCAGAAATAGCAGCAGCAACAACAGATCCGGCCGAGCAAAAATAGCAGCAGGAACAATGGCTTAATTTTGACACCTGAAACTAGTGAAATTCACATTTTAGTCTCAGATTGATTATTGACACATCACAATTCACAAAACTACTCATTGTTGCATAAAATAACATATTAGGTGTTGAGCCATGCTCAAGTGTAAAATTAATAATTAATCCTGTACTTTGAATGGTTGAAGTACAACATAAGTAAGGTTATTTTAATTTGTCAATTCAAGTTGTGAATCTGTGACAGCCACGAACACACAACATTAGAGCTATGAGATGGTCCTCCCATGACCCCTAAACCATTAATATGATTAATTGACCATGGTCCACAAGCCACATTTTTTCATGACTACACTCAGAAGAAATGCAGATTATGTGATCGCTAAATCAGTCAAATATGTGAATAGAGATGGAGTCTCCGAACTACATGAATAACATTACATCAGAAGCATTGTATGAGTTCCACTGGGAGCTCTATGGTGTATGCTAAGATTGGCTCACCTACCCTTACATTTGCTCACTTCATTTAATGTAGTTGCAATGATTTCATTACACCAATTATACTTTATCACAAACTTAGATCATTTAACACTATAAAATGCAGGCAATAAAGTCTTAATGGAATGGGTGTCCAAGTTTCATGCCACTAACAAACTCCTGAACATCCAACTCCTCCTATCCAATCAGAATTCAGGAGTACATGAGCATATGAGCATACTATCAATAAAAAAAGCACATGCCTTTCCAAGTGCAATACGAATGTACAGGCGTACAGCCTCTGCCATTGATAACGATTTTGCGACAACATTGCAACTCTTTGCATCATGGCCCATTGTAGGAAAAGTTTCACCCCTCTCTGAATGACATTGACCATGAGTTAGAAAACAAACAAGAATTAATCAAGTTAAAAGCTAAAGGTTGCAATAATGACCCAACTCCTTCGACACACATATCAATACTCCACTTTCTGAGAATGAGAATAGGACATCCTCAATAAGGATGCAATAAGCTATATATATATATAGTTCCCTTTAAATTATACAGCTTCAAATGTAATTAACAAAGAAACATATCAGTTCCAGGGAAAACAAACAGATTCAATTCATACATGTCCTTGCAATGCATTGTTCAAAAGAATAATGAAGACTGCACCTTGATGGGCTGTATGCTTTTTGTTTATGTATGATGGAAGTCAAACCCATTGCAATATTATGTGCAGGTTATATTGTTCAAAGTCCAATAAGGATAAGTTGGAATCAGTGGATATGCGTGGACTATGCTATATGGCTATTTGTGAAAAGCCCAATTAGCCAAATTCGTGTGAGCCCAATTCGTGTGATAAGTTATTGTTGTGGGCTGGACGGAATTATGGACTGATTTTATTTATTCTTATTGATAATTATTCTGCTTATTTATCTCTAACAAATTTATCTTGTGTTATGGATATTTATCTTATGTTAAAAATTTGACCATAACTTTTGATAAGATTAAATATCTTTAACTAATTCTGTTTTGCAGAGATAGAGATAATAATAACAATATTCTGTTTTATCAGAATATTTGTTTCAAGGGATAAGTTTCATATTTAAACTTAATTCTAATGCTAACCGATTTCCTTGAAGTTTAAATATCTGTTTTGCAGAAATCCCTTGAAGATAGGCTGAATATTTCTGTTGCAAGTTGAATGTTGAATGTTGAATGTGAAGCCCAAGAATAGCACAAGACCTATTCAAGTAAACTTGAAAGTTAAACGGCTTTTCAAGTTCAAAAATCAGAAATTCAAGCCTCCTCTCAACTCTATAAATAATGTTCAAGTGTGCTGAAGAAATAACAACGTAGAACAAGAACACACAAGAATTATCGAGCTTCATACGTTATTCAAGAGTTGTTAAATATTTTCTCTCTAGTATTGTACTACTTTATTGAGTGATTAGTTTGAGAGAAAAGAAAAGGTATATCAAGAGTGCTTAAACTTTGTTATCAAAAGAGTGATATACTATGAGTAGTATTATAATACTCAAAGTATAATAAAAGTAAGGTAGCTTTTTATTTCTGGGAATTAAGTTGCTAAGGTGTAGCTGGGTGGCTGCGGAAAGAAGATGGGAGATCTTCTAGGTGCTTTAGGACTCTAAAAGAAGAAATAAAAAGATTTAAAATCCTACGGGTTAGAAACCCTAGGCGGAGACGTAGACTTATTTGCCGAACTTCGTAAAAATATCGATGTGCCTTGTCTTGTTGTATTTGCTTTACTTTACCGTTTTTATTTCTGTTTCTAATTCGTAATCCATATTCTGCCTAAGTTTCAAAGTTTTTTTTTAAGCCTTGAAGTAAATCTCAAAGCCTTGACTCTGATAAGCAAATCAGTTTATTCCACCTTGAAACTGATTTCAAGACCTTGAGATTTATAGTTTTTGCGAAAAATTCCCATACTCTATTTAACTCCCCTCCCCCCCCCCCCTTCTAGAGTATACTTGTTATTATTCCATCACCCTATTGATCCTTCAAATAGGTACCAAAGGGGGAGTCCCCTATCCCTAAGAAGACTGACCTGCTTTGATAATAAGAAACTTTACAAGAACCAAGGATATTGTGAAGTGATAAAAGAACAATAATGTGGTAAGTCAAGATCAATAGAAGTTTTCAAGAAACAACTAAATGCCAAACTGGAGGCTTTGATATTCAATTTATGCTTTATAAAAACAAGTGGTATAGGATAAATCAACCTTAAATCAATGTATATAAGCTAGATAAAGTCAAATAATAAATTGCACATTTTTCCTACCAAGGAAAGAAAAGGGGCCATACCGCATTACCGCATAATATGGGCATCCATAGCCGGTCTTCAGAAAATGGCCATCTCTCATAATGTTGGTCAAACCAAAATCTGGTTATCTTCACAAACATTTTGATGCAAATCTAATGGAAGATTTTCAGGCTTTAAGTCTCTATGGACAACCATGTTTCCTATGACAATACTCTACTCCTGATATAATCTGCTCTAATAAAACACAACAAAAATAACTTAAAAATAAAAGTAAATTTAATTTGAGAGATATGACAAGTAATAAAAGAATTTTAGATACGGAAGGAGTATTATTAATCAAACAATGTCAAACAATGATACAGAGTATTATAGAGTAGTAGTTTGTAATAACGATACTAAATAATTGTCAAACTAAATTGAGTTATGACTACAAATAGCTTTAAATGGAATTGAATTATACTTGTTTTAAATTAGTCATCAGTAAGCACCACAACACATAATTTATAAGCAAAAATGAGAGCTTATCAAATTAGAGTTTAATGGAGGAAAGGACATACTTTGAATAGCAAACCTCTGCATTACCCCCACAACACAATATTGCCATATCTGTGGCTGTTCACATTAGCATGCCTCCATTAACAACAAACTAAATAGCAGAGTCCAAAAACATAGACGGCGAACCGTAAGGAACCTGGCAGCAAATCAACATCACTAATTAGTACATTCCCTAAGAAAAAGAAAATAAAAAACACAAAATAATAAGAAAATAGGACTTCTTCAGCTACCAAGCCAAAATAAAAAAAGTAAGTATTCAATACATTTCCTTAAAAGGTCGTGACAGTGAATTTTGAAACCAAATCCACCAAGATTCTCTAAGAGACTAAGAAATTTAATAAACTAAGACAACAAATATTGAATAAAAGCATAACGTCTTTTCTATCCATTCATGAGCATGTAGGTACGATCGTACTAATATAGAGCATCAAAAATTTAAAACAGTAGCATAACTCCAAATTAGCAGACACACCAGCAATGACACATGTCATCTCCTGGTGTGTCCCTTAGTTTTTTTTTTATTATTATTGAATATCTATATAGGAAAGAAATATTACCCATAAATCAAAGATTAGAAAACATTTAGTATATCCTTCCAATTATATATTAATACCATAAACATGAATATTCTAATATCTTATCTTGTGATTTTGAAGCAATATATAGCATTTGAAATGGTAATAATTCCAAATAGAAACTATTTTATTTAATTGCAACTAAATAACGTTACGTGCTTCCCATTTTCTCCACTAAGTATCTTTATATATTCGATTATTCGCTATCTTAAAAAATCCATACTAATCTATGACTTACTGTAGATAATAATAAAACCACGAAGTTAAGAAAATCAAACAATTATTCAAATCAATAATTTATTTGTAACATGAATATCAAAATATGCCACCCTTTGTCTATATAGGTGCACGAGTGTATCCTCCATATGTAACCACCCTTTGTAACATCTATTTTTATTATTTAATATCTATATTGGAAAGAAATATTACACAATACTGTAAAAGATTTTCCTTAAAAAAAAAAATTAGAAAAGCTTTAGTGTATCCTTCCAAATATATATTGATACCATAAACAAGAATATTCTAATATCTTATTCTAAATTATTACGTAAAATATTATGCAAAAAAAAAAAATAGAAAAAAATATAATTTCATAGACACACCAGCAATGACAGGTGTCATTTTCTAGTGTGTCCGATCCCTAAGTCTTTTTTTTTTTAAAAAAAAAGAAAAAAAAAATTTATTTAGGAAACAAATTTTAAACAAAAATAAAGTATAACAAACTTATGCATAAATAAAAGATTTGATGTATCCTTAACAACTATATAAACTTAAGTAAAAGAAAAAAAAAAATCAAACTTCAACATAATTTTTGCCAAACACAGTGTCATGTACTTCAATAATTACATATATTTTTTTTGTATATATTTATAAAATAATACAGTATATTAGAAGCTTCAAGAAAGTAATTAGAATATTAATTATTTAAAATAAAAGATTTGATATTTAACCTTCTATAAAAAAATATTAACAACTACGGAGTATAAATTTAAGAAAAAAAAACCAGATTTTTAACATGTGACATACTGAGTGTAATGTACTACGTTTATGTAATGTACTACGTTTATTACAGCACCAATTTACTTTCTAAAAAAATTAAAATAGAAATCTATTTACGAGTTGAATACTTAGTATATAGTTTTAAGAAATTCATTTGGTTAAAAAAAATGAAACCAATTTGTTGGTGAAATATACAAAAATATATAGATATTGTCAAATGCGTATATTAAAATTCCTATCTGGCTAACAGGCTCTTTCATTATAAATTCATTATAATATTTTAAACAATTTTTTTTATAATTAAATTTAGTTTTAATTTAAGAATAACTATTTAAAATTACCGTACATGGCACGGGACCTAACCTAGTATAAATCAATAAAAAGCTGCAATTAAGTATGCCTTCATAAGGGCTTACAATTTGCAAATTATTGAAGAAATAACACTTGCAGGACATACTTTCAGAATATAATCACGACCTAAATCATCCAATTACAAAAACACTAACAAAAATCCAAAAAAAAAAAGCACAAATTTTAGATTTAACAAAAAAATAAATCACTAATATACGAATTCAAGAGAAAATTGAAATTGCTAGCCTTCAAGACGTTTGAGCTCATCTGAGATTCGTTGAATTTCCTGCTTACGATTTTTCGCCCAAATTCCAGAATAAAGTCGTCAATCAGAAATTCAGAGTGGAGGAGAGAAAATTGTGAGCGTTTACCTTTCGCTTCCAATGGAAGGTACGAGAAGCAGAAGAGGAGAGAAGAATGAGGTTGAGAGAGAAGCTTAGATCGTAGAAGAGCCATGGCAATTACAATCTTTATCAACTCATTCGAGTTTATCGCCGCCGTAGGTTCCGCCATTGACGATGTGGTTGCAGCCACCACCTCTCCTCCTCAACCACCACCACCATTACCCTATTCACTAAAACCCTAACCCAAAACCTAAACCCCTAAATAAGAAGAGAACCCTAACCTCGAATGTGATTATAATAATGGGGTAGATGGTTGATCTGGACGCCATGAAGAAGAGGAGAGAGAAGAGTGGGCCAGCAGCGGTGGGAGGCGGCGGTCGAGTCAAGAGACAGAGGGAGTGCAAGGAGGGTGGGGAGAGGGGGAGTGAATGCCAGGGTTTTTTTTATTTCCCTTTGTCTGTTATGGCCAGCGGTTTGAACCGAAAACCGCTGCCCATTAGTGTCTTTATCATTTTTTAAGCTGAAGTGAGTTTTTGGGAAGCGGATTTCATTAACCGCTTTCTATTTGTGGCCGCCCATTTGCTTTTTTCTACTAGTGATTGTTTTGTGTAACAGAAATTCTTGCGTGGACCTGAGATTTATATACATGCAGAATTAATGTTATTTGGAATATAGTGACCGTAACTTTAACATAATATCCTTATTTTTTAACATAGTAACCTTTATTAAAACTTGTGTGACCTTTAATGTTATTTCTGTTTACATCCCAAAAAAATAACCTTTTATAGCTTTTATAATGTCAGAATCGCTTTTATTTCAACATAATAACCTTATTTTAATGTCGTGACCTTTTTTTTTTAATAATAAAACAATCATAGTATCTCTAATGTTAGTGGTCCACAATAAATTTGTGTGAACCAGATCCATTTAAGAATTTGTATTTGTGTAATTTATTTGCAAGTTTGTCTAACCAGCCGGTGGTTTTGCAGAAAAAGCTCTCACAATGGTCGATGCTGAGAAGACGTCTGCCAGGTCTGCAACCCAGATCAGGAAAACTCAGCTGGAAAAGAAAAAGGCCCAACTGGCGGCCAAAAATGATGGGGTAAGCTCCGCCTGCCCCTTTTTACTTGCATATATATTTTTATGATCCTGGGACGACATATCACCGGTTGTAACCCATGTGTTCCGCTTTTAGGGTGGGAGCAAGAACATCCCAAAATCCATCACCAAATTGCTCAAAGCCTCAAACGGAAGCCTAAGGAGTCTGCCAAAGGCTTCTCCAAAACTAGGAAAGCACAGCAAACCCAGACAACATCTTCCTTGCCGTCTAGGGAAGACCGACCTACTTCCGCAGATAAGAGCCTTAAAGATCTTGGCCTGAATCCAGACTTGGTTGGCAAAGAGTCGGGCGTCCCTATGGCGCCGAAGAGTGGCATGCCACTCGATGCTGCATCCAGTTCTGCAGCGGCTGGGGTGACCAGACCCTTCAGCAAGAACCTTAAGGTATGATTGCCTTTAAACCCCCATGGCCGCTTGGGCCTAATACACGAGTCAAAACTCAATCTTCTCAGTCGGGAGGTTCGCCCTGCAACCGGTACTCTATACGTGCCGCTTATGCTGCTTTCTCACAACCCCCTTCTTGTGGTGTAGATGCCTCTCCTAGGAGGCCGGACGTCGCGTCCAGCAATATTCCAAACGGATGCTGATTATCATCACCCGGTCCGAAAAGGAGTTAATTCCTGGGCTACACCAGATTAACCTGGAACGCATCACCGCCTTACTGGCTGGGCTAACTTGTCTTCAAATTTTATTTTATTTTTTTTTATTATTTTTTTTTGGGCAAGTGCTTGTGTTTATCATAATGCCGGCTAATTCATTTCTTTGCCACCTGTACCCTTGCAGGCAATGCTTAGGGTAGACGGGCTCAAGACTCCATTTAACAAGAGACAGGAGGAGGTAAGAGACGCCAATAAACGGGCGACTGAAGCCCTTAACTCTGCTCAATATCGATCTACCTTGAATGATATTAAGTCTAAAGCCAAGGAGATAAAACAGGAGGAGATCATTAAGGAGCTGACAACTGCCCTAGAGAGGTCCAACAAGAAGACGTCTGACCTCGAGCTCGAGCTTAAAAATGCTCAGTCGGAGCTCAAGGCTTTGGAGGCAGCCAGGAGTGAAAATACCGAGCTCCGAGAAGACGTTGGCCGGCTCAAGGACGAGATAACCAGAATGCAGAGCGAGTACAAGACTGAGCTCGAGTCAGAGCAAGAGCGGCTGGTGGATGAGAATGAAAAGGATTGCGAGGAACGCATGAAGATAGCGTGGAACCTCATCCATCCAGACTTCGACTGGGACTACTTCGGTCTGAGGTACAACCGTACAAGTATGCCACTAAGGAATATGATGCCCAGACCCTAGGTCTGCTAGAGCCGGCTCCGTTTAACGAATGGGCCGGCATTGAGTCGTCTGATGAAGAGCAGGAAGAGGGCGAGGGCGAGCTCAATGATCAGCAGGAGGACCAAGTGCCGGTTGACCCTAACCAAGTTCAACCAGGGCAAACGAGAGATGAGCTCCCCTTCGGCAATGACCAGTCAGTGCCTCCGCCTCAGCAAAATCAGTAGGATTAGTCTCCATCTCTCTTTCAGCCTTGGGTCGTCTGTATCCGTGCCAAATATTTGTGTTGTACTTTTAAACAATTTTTGCTTTTCCGGATGTGGATCCAGTATGTTAATCATTCTCCCGTCCTTTTGGTCGGGTTTAGTTATGAAATAGCCGACTGAGTTGGTTTTATCAATTTTTTCAATTCTTGCAATTTTTTGATTTTTCTATATATATATATATGCTTCGATCTTGCCCAACTTATTAATTTCATGCGACAACTAACAAACCGGTTGGCCTTTTGCCCCTGGGCGGCTGTGTGGTTGGTTTCAAAATGGATTGATTAACTAAGGAACTTTTGATACTTTAAGGAGTATGAGAGGTTCCTTGGTCAATCAATCACTACCATGATTGCCCCAAACCAAGTACAAAGCCGTCCAAGATTCAAGCAGTATTATCTTGAACACCCAGGCGTTCACCGTTTGGGTCATCTGTGAAATTGGACTTGATTATCCATAAATATACTCAAGCATCCTTTTTCCCCATTAGGGGGATGTCTCGAGTTATAAAATTATTATAAGTTTTTAATCTAAGTTGGAATAACGGCCGAATACCGGGTGGTGTCAACAGGACATGCGGTTTTATTACGCTGTCTAGGTTCCATTTTAGATTATTCAGGTCAAACGACTATGAACTAGGCCCTATTGGGTTAATCAGTCTTTGTCGTTTGTGTTTGAGTTTATAGAGCAATGTGCCACCCAAATGGGAGATGCTCTCTGCGACGAAAAATCACCCAGATGGGCGTCGCCGGATGTCGTACTCATGTTGGAGCAGGCGGTTGGTTTAGATTTGGCCGTCTGCACATTGCACAGGCGGTGTTCCTATTGGGAGACATATCTAATAAAGCATAAATAATCAAAATTGAAAACAAAAAGCAATTTTTCAATGATAGGCTTTTCATTTACAAGAAATTTACAAGTCTTAGAAGTAGTACATCTTTAGATTGTCTACATTTCAAGTTCTAGCTAGCTTCCTGCCGTCTGGAGTTTCCAGGCGGTAGGTGCCACCCCTTTACTTCTTCATAGATCCGGTAGGGGTCTTTCCAATTGGGTGCAGTGTCAACTTGCCTTGCTCATTGCCCTACATGTTACCTCCATTTTCCGTAACACAAAGTCCCCTACTTTCAAGGGTCGTTTGTGCACTCTTTTGTTGTAGGCCCTTGTCATTCTCAGACGGCAAATCTCATGACGCAAGGCGGCATTGCCCCTGCGTTTTGGAAGTGAGTCCAATGCCAGCCGCATGGCCTCCCAGTTTGCCTCTTCATCATATAACATGACTCGAAGAGTCGGCTCATAATGTTCAATAGGCAAGACGGCTTTACCACCGTACACCATGAGAAATGGGGTTTCACCGGTTACCTTTTTTGTTGTTCTGATGGCCCATAGGACATGAGTTAACTCTTCTGCCCATAGACCGCCAGCCCCTTCAATTTTCTTTTTTATGCCGTCTAAAATTAGCTTGTTGAAGGCCTCAACCTGGCCGTTTGCTTAGGGACGACTGACTGATGCAAAACAGTGGGAGATCCCTTGGTCTCCCAGCCAATTCTTGAGGATAGGCATCTCAAATTGAGAGCCATTGTCAAAAACCATAGATATAGGTACCCCAAACCGGGTGATGTGGTTCTTCCAGATGAAGGAGATGACGTCCTTTGTCTTTATGTTTTTTCCGCCTCTGCTTCTACCCACCTGGTGAAGTAATCAACAGCAACTAGAATATACCGCCATCCGCCTGGTGCAGGCGTATACGGACCCAGAATGTCCATGCCCCATTTGGCGAATGGTACTAGGCTATGAATGGCCGTCAGATCAGTGGTCGGACGGTGTATGAGTCTGCCGAATCTTTGACACTTATTACACTTCTTCACCATTTCTATGGCGTCTGCCTCAAGAGTGGGCCAGAAGTAGCCTTGCGGCCTTGCCATTTGTGCTAAAGACTTGCCGCCTATGTGTGAGGCACAAAATCCTGTATGCAAGTCTTCTAGAATCTCTCGCCCCCTTTCCGGGGTGATGTATTTCAGAAGAGGCTGCAAAAAACCCTTTCTGAAAAGTTCTCCATTGTGAATCTCAAAGTTAGCCGCACGCTTTTTCATTGCAGCCATCTCTGGATACGTATCCGGTAGAGTGTCGTCTAGCCAGTAGGCTCATTGTGAATCTCAACCTGGAAAAGTTCTCCATTGTGAATCTCAAAGTAGGCCCGAATGCCATCCATCCAGGTTGAGCTTCGGTCCAGAACTCAAATGGGATCTTCTTCAATACTTCACTGCAGCCATCTTTCGATACGTATGCCAGAAGACTGACCGAGGTGTATCATAGGAGGTGGACGATGCCAACTTTGACAAAGCATCCGCCTGATTGTTCTCTGACCTAGGCACTTGACTTAAATGGAATTCGTTAAGTGTCCCAGTTTCTGTCCTGATTTTCTTGCCCCTGCTGCCTTACAGATGCGTATACCGGCTAGCAGGGCTTCATACTCAGCCTCATTGTTTGAGGCTTGAAACGTGAACCGTAGTGCATATTCATACTTTTCCCCCTCAAGAGACTGACATATAATCCCTGCACCAAAGCCGTTCATAGTAGAGCTCCCGTCTACATACACTTTCCAAACCTGATCAAGATTTTCTGGTTTAACCGGCCTTTTCATTTCAACAATAAAGTCGGCGAACGACTGACCCTTCACTACCTTCCTTGGTTTAAAAGTGATTTCAAGACTTTGCATTTCAATAGCCCGTTTGAGCATTCGACCGTATAACTCTAAAGTTGTCATTGATCGCTTGAGGGGTTGGTCTGTATAGACTACCACCGGATATGCCAAGAAGTAAGGTTTCAACTTCTTGACTGCCATGAACAAGGCGAGACCGAATTTTTCAATCATAGAGTACCGGAGTTCTACATTTCAAAGCATATCTGACGAAATAGACCGGGAGCTGATTGCCGTCTTTCTTAGCAAGGAGAACAGCACTGAGAGAATGATGTGAGATGGCTAAGTACATGTAAAACGTCTCCTTGGGCAGAGGGATAACAAGCCTTGGCAAAGAGTGTAAATGCTCTTTCAATTTTTGAAAGGTCGCCTCAGCATCATCCCCCCATTCGAACATGGTCTTCTTTCTGATTGATAAAAAAAAATAGAGGCACTTGTCACCTGACCGACTGAGGAATCTCCCCAATGCCGCCAGACAACCGGTTAATTTCAAAACTTCCTTTACACTGCAGGGAGATTTCATGTCAATGACCGCCTGTATCTTCTCTGGTTTAGCCTCTATCCCCCTTTCATCAATCAAAAATCAAAGAAACTTCCCAGACTCAACACCGAAGACACACTTCTTGGGATTAAGCATGACCTTGTGCCGCCTGAGTGTGGCAAAGGTTTCTCGGAGGTCAGCTAGATGGTCTGTCTGTAGCTTGGATTTGACTATCATGTCATCAATGTACGCCTCTACATTCCTTCCAATCTGATTAATGAAGACCGAGTTAATCATACGTTGAAAAGTAGCAGGCGCATTCTTCAAGCCAACAACATCACAAAATAGCAGAATAACCCCTGATCAGTGACGAAAGGTGTCTTCTATTGGTCTTTTTTCCACAGGGGTATCTGATGGAAGCCGGAATAGGCATCCATAAAACTCATCAAAGCATGTCTGGTTGTTGAATCAACCAGACTGTCGATCTTTGGAAGCGGGTAACTGTCCTTCGGACATGCCTGGTTCAGATCAGTGTAATCAACACACATGCACCAAGTACCATTCGGCTTCTTTACAAGCACAACATTCGCAACCCAATTTGGGAAGTGACATTGCCGAATGAACCCGGCGTCTAACAACTTCTTGACCTTGGTGGCTACCGCCTGAGATCTCTCCTCGGCCGTGATTTCTTTTCTTTTTCCTAACAGGCTTATTTTTTGGATCCACGGCGAGCTTGTGGACAGCAAGATCCGGGTTGATGCCTGGCATCTCTTCCCGTTCAAAGGCAAAAATGTCCTTGAATTCTTTCAGCAGATGGTGCAAGTCTGCACCCAATTTTGCAAAAGCATTCATCCCAACCTTTACAGTACGCTTCGGACGTGCGTCATCCAGAACGATATCCATATGTTCTCCAGCTGGCTGGGGACGGAGTTCATCTGACCGTTTCCCGGTCAGTGATTGCTATTGCTTCTCTTTTTTTACATCCACCAGCTGGTCGGCCATTCTTTTCTTACCGGCTAATGGTGGGGCAGGCTCTTGTTCTTTGACATCGTCAAGGTCTATTGGCTCCTCACCCTGGCTGGCTGCAGCCACCATAGGCTTGAAGTCTGAGTGGTAGCACTCTTTAGACGTCTTCTGGTCCCCGTTCAGGGAGCCAACAGAACCGTCGTCTTTCTCAAACTTTAGCAGCATGAGGGATGGGATGATGACGGCCTTGGATTCGTATAGAGTCGGACGACCCAAAATCAGATTATAGGCGGTCAGCTCCTCCACGACCAAGAACCAGACGACCATGTGGTGCCCTTCTCCTTTCTCTCCCAGCCAGATGGGTAGATCAATCCGACCGACTAGGTGCATAACTCCACCCCCAAAACCAACCTAGGGGGGAGTGAACTTGTGCATGTTGTTGGGATTGTACTTTAGCTTGGACAGGCACTTATAGCTGATGATGTCAGACGAGCTACCAGTATCAATGAGGATCCGGCCAACCTTCTAGTTGGCCACCTTGCATTCAATGACAATAGGGTCATCATACGGCCGACGGACTTTGCCCCGGTCCTTTTCAGTGATGATGACCTTAGGG